GTTGTCGCCTTGCTCCAGCCACAGACACAAACTTGGAGTTCAATGACTTTACTTACTGCAGATCTTGAACTAGTCTTACTCTCCATACTCATATCCGTTTCCATTCCTAAGTCGTTAACCATGTTGTCCAACATTGAGTCATCTTCCGCCCCCGCTCTCGCAGACTCTAGGGGTATTTTTCTCTTTAATTTCTCAGAAGCCTTGGGCGGGTGTCTCCAGCATCCTGTAAACACGGAGCTGGATACTGCCGACAAGGGTAGCTAACCCTTACCAGCCCCATTGGGGTCTCTTTCCTCCTGTCAGCTGTCTCTCCAGGCTGTCACAAGGTCTTTCCCTGGTTGCCAGCAGCACTATTCACCGCAGTCACTGGATGTATCCAGATCTTCATGATTTCCATTACACGAGAGTAGATGTTAAAACTTCATGCTGATTTGTACTCGGCTTTCGCCAAGATAAGCAAAACTAAGACGTAGCTTTACAGTAAACTATGCTTCTCCATCCATTTACGCTTCTTTCCATAAGGTGGTGTGACTCCCCTTCTGTCCGGCGTTAACGGCAGCAGTGTACTTGGCGCGTCAGCGCACGCGACGGCTGCAACTACAGGACCAGCACGACAACCGTCTGGATTGAACCGAGTAGGGGACATCTCTAGGGTCTTCAAGTGGGCACCTTCCGTCCTCAGTGTTTCGTCGACTAGCCCACGACACCTCAAGAGGGCTCGACAGTGACTCTGGCGTCCCAGAGTCACCCCCCTCCGTCCCCCACTCAACTCAGCCCAGCTAACTGACCTCTACATCCCTCCTGCTGCTGAGGCCTAACCACAATCTCACAATCTCTCCGCAACCCGACCATACGCGCCAACCCGTTTGACTAAGGCTGTCGAGCCCCACTGGTGCGTTAATATGCAGTTTCAGTGGACAACGGTTCCGTATGGCATACCACCTACCGCAAAACACAATATCTGCCCAACCACCCGTCATTCACGCAATATCCACAGGAACGTATACAAACAAACCAACAGACTCTTCAAGTTTTCAAGAATTCTACGAAACCGTAGCGTGGCGGCCTGTACACAGCCAGCTAGAATCTTTCCGTCTCAACCACAGCCAGTTGCTGCTCCTTTCTGCTGCTTCAGATAAGTTCTTTACTGTGCGACGCAACTCTTGGCCGCTGAATCCGATGTCTCTGAGGAACCGGGTTGTAGAGTGTGCCACAAAACCTCGACAACCCACTTCCACTGGATAAACCTGGACTCTCCATCCTCGCTGTTCTGCTTCAGTGGCCAGATGAGCATACCGCAGTTTCTTCCTCTCATATGCCTCATCTACCGCATCCTCCCATGGCACTGTTAACTCTATCAGTTGAACAATGCGTGCTGATCCAGACCACAAAACAATATCTGGTCGTAGGTTAGTGGTGGCAATCTCAGGTGGAAAAATAAGCCGTTGGTCAAGATCAGCCTGCATCTTCCAGTCCCTAGCAGCTTCCAGTTGTCCTGGGCGAGAATTGGTGTTAACACCTTTTCTTGGTGGTTGCTCGCCTGAGCAGAGGAATATAGTCTTCTGCGTGTAATGTTTTGCTAGAACAGGTGGCAACTTATTGGTCATGTTACGCTTGCCTTCTAATGCTAAAGCCAAACATCGCAGTACTTGGTCATGGCGCCAAGTAAACCGACCTTGGCTAAGAGCCACCTTACATCCTGTCAAAATGTGCCTTAATGTGGCTGGTGATGAACACAAAGGACAAGAGGGATCCTCTCCTACCCAGAGGTTTAGGTTCTGCGGTGATGGGAGAACATCATATGTTGACCTAATAAGGAAACTGATCCTACTCTCTTCCATTGACCAAAGGTCTTGCCAGCCCATCTTACGTTGTTCCACACTCTCCCATCTCATCCACTCTCCCTGCTTGGCCTGGGAAATGGCCTTTATACACCTCATCCTCTCCTCCTGCTGTCGCACCTCGTTGACTACCAGCTTCCTCCTTTGAGCTGGTAGTCAACATGTGCCATTTGTGCCATTTAGGAAGAGCTAAACTGAGCCCAAAACCCCCTCTTCCATGCTGTACCTGTCCCACGATATCCCTAATTTGAAGGGCAGCCTTTGCCTCTACTACAGATTAGTCATATTTTGGGAGAAGTCATAGTTATTTATTCAATTCACATTTATTTGTAAAGCACTTTTCACAATACATATCATTTCAAGGCAGCTTTACAGAAAAGGGATGTCTACATTACAATTTAGAGTCATTTGTTTTCAGAGGTGACTGTGTCCAAGTTATCTCCATATGTCTAGATGTCAGTTCTAAGATAATACAAATCATGCAGTTAGCTAACATCATGTATTCATTTAGACAGAAACAATGATCTCATTAAAGCAGTTATTACAAGTTGTGATCATAATGATTACAATATATAGAAACTTTGGCAGTGGTGCATGTTAATTCAGAGTGTGCTTCATCTAGAGTTGGAGACATCTATTCACAGGTGTTGGGTCATCTAAAATTTTCTTAAGAGGCTGGAACCAAACAGGAGCTGCCATAATCTTTAGGTACCTCAGGATGGGCATGCCAAGGTAGAAAGAGAAAGCAACTGGAAAAAAATTAGCGTAGCTGCTGTTCATAACATTTCAAGCAATAGATAGTCATGCACGTTTCATTTGATGTAACTGGGGTACAAGGTTATGAGATGCATTATGTGAATGCTTGGCTAAAGAGGTGTGTCTTTAATCTAGATTTAAACTGGGAGAGTGAGTCTGAGCCCTGAACATTATCAGGAAGTCTATTCCAGAGTTTAGGAGCCAAATATGAAAACACTCTCCCTCCTTTAGTGGACTTAGATATCTTAGGTGCTACCAGAAGTTCAGAGTTGTGTGATTGTACTTTTCTTCTTTTAAATGGCTTTCTCCAAGTGATACTGGGTTTAGAGGGTGACAAAGCAGCAGACCCAAATGGGCAACTTTGGCAAAAGAACCAGGGGACTACACATAAGGCATTTGAAGACCCATAAAAGCATGTGACTTCAAAATACATTGAAATGTCTCAAAAACAGTAGAAAATAATCAGATGTCTTCCAAACTCACTGGATGGTTTCACTGTCAGATTCAGCAATGGCACAAGAATAATTATTTCATAATGTCTCAGAAAGCAGTGATAAAGTAGCAGCAGTAACTTCAAAAGGACCTGTTTATGACTTTAAACAGTTGCAAAAGGATGGCAAAATACTATCAGTATCAGGCAATGTCAGTGGAAGAATAAATGTTAATGCATAACTTTTCCACCTAGAACAGACCACAGTGGTCTGTCTGGTTTTCTGTCTATGCTTGCCTTCCTGTCTTGGTTGCAGTTGACAGCCGATGGCCATCTTTCAGCCAATAGAGCACAAACGAGGGCCATTGACGTCTAAAACAGGACAGAAGACAAGGCAATTCTCCTCTTGTTAGCAGTATCATTAATGGCTGAAAAGCTTCGTTTATATTCATCTGAGGAGGCCAGGTAGGTTTTGCTAGCAGAAATCAGCCTCTTGATCATCTTCCCAGGACTATCACCTTCAAGTTTCCCCAACTTATACTCCTCAATAGAAGCTCTGGTGGGTACTCCAAGATGCTTCCTTTTCACCGTACAGGACAAGGGAATTACGGTCTTTGGGCCAACAGGAAGGTTTGAGTGGTGTCAGAAGCTCAGTAATCTGAGTCAGAGAGATTATAAATGGCAGCCTGAAGGAACTGCACCTAGTTGATATTCTCCTTGGTGGCTTCTAGTGAGAGTCCATTGACCATGCATGATGTCATCCTCACTTCTGCCTTTGCTGGTGTTGTTTCCATGGTCTCCAGGATCTCCATAGACAAACGAGTCCACCAACTGGCATCAGGTGTGTTTCGATTTTGCAGATTCATGGAGAGGCTTTGTAACTCACGCAGCACATCTTTCATCAGTGCAAGGTCTTTAACAAAACTGTGCTGCTGAGTTTCCTCAATAGTCCACTGCATTTTCACCGATCCAAATTAGTGCAGGAAACAGACGCATTCTGCATTTGTGTGGAAAGTGCTGGAAAGTCCTGCCAAACAGCTCTGGCAGTGTTGAAACTGATGACAACTCAGCGAATGGAGAAAATCTGCCCAATCTTCAGCAGTGAGATTTTTACATGAGTGGCAGCATCAGAGCAGTCTGGCTTTTTCTTTTAGATTGGTGGTAAACTACATCCAGTTACAGACTTGCATGCATTGTGTCCCAACTCTAGATTGTGTGCAAGACAATGAATGCCGTTCAGTAAAGAGAAGTCTTTTGTCAACTTTGCAATCAGCCCACTCTCTTTCTGTCATGACTGATGCTCCATCTGTGGAAATGCTGATCAGGTGTGATTTTAAATATTCATTATCCAAACCTGCTGTCAAAAGGGTCTTCTTAAGAGCTTGATACAATGGCTCTGCTGTTGTTCCTTTATCTAGCTCTACAAGATCAAGGAAAATGCTTTCAATATCCTCTCTGCCTGTCACACCTGCTCTCAAGTAAATGAAATAGATTTAGACAAAATTACATTTCATCAACTGTCAAACTCACAAAAGAATCATCAGACTTCAATGCAGATATCATTGACTTTTTCATTTTAGTGGCAATGTGTTTAATCATGGCGATACAAGTATGATCTGATTGGTGTGAAGGGCCCATTCGTTTTTCATTTATACATGCAATACATCCAATTTTGTTTTCATTGATGCACAGCCATTGGGTGTATTGTTTCCTCTATACTTTAGGGCAGAAGGAACGCCTCCTAGCAACCAAAAATACAGCAACCCAGCGACCTCCAGGCTCTAGCAATATATATTTTTTGGCATTTTTCTGGTCATTTTAATCAGAGGTGGTAATTAGTCTCAAAGGTTTGAGAGCCACTGATGTAAATAATTTCAAGCATGAATAAATGTTTTAATTGATTGTTTTTTAATCATATTTACAAAATGTTTTAACATAAAAACATTAAAGCTGTCTGTATTTTTCTGTCTCAGTCGAACAGCCCAGAGGAGATGCACGGCTGGATCAAGGCTATCTCTGGGGCCATAGTGGCCCAACGGGGTCCTGGACGCTCAGCAGCCTCTGTAAGGATTTACTTTGTTTAGTGGCACATTCTGAGTTCTCAGCCGATTTGTGCTCTTCTGGATTGATTTGCCATTTGTGACGTGTTTTGTAACCACCCACACTCTCCATGTCCTGCCCAACCAAATTTCAAAATGTCCCTTATTTATGTTGGCCGATGGAACAACCAAAGTTCTTAAAAGGATAGTTCACCCTAAATCTAAACCGTTGTTATTATCCACTCAAAAACTGGCCTAATTTACCAGACGACATACATTACTATACCCTCTTTGTGTCTGTCTCTTGGGCTTTTCACACTTAAAATAGCTCATTCTAAATCCTAGGTAAACGGAATCCTGTGTTATCTTGCTTCACATTTCACATCACTTATAATTTACCTAGGGTTAACAATTAAACCTGGGTATTAATAAGCTGCCGTTTCACACTTTACATTCTTAAACCCTGGGTTAACAATCGTATTTTTATGTGGTGTCGGTGTCGCTGATTAGCTCAACGGCTCATTTTAAAATCCTCTGACATTTGGTAAGACATCTCATGATAACTTTCGTTAACTCTACAATAAGTAAATCCATTTCACCAGCTAATTACTCCTCGACAGCGATGCCATAGAAATAAACAGAGCTACTGCAAAAACGGAAGTTCAGACAATATTCTAAAGATGGCTGCATGCTTGTTTCTCTGGCGCATAAGGTCTATAGAATAACACAAGATGCATCACTCGTATTGTTTTGAATGGGGAAAAGTGCAACGCTCAATATGGCGGAATAAGTCACGCCTTCTAAATAAGAGCCAATCGCTGATTGGTAAAGTCATCGCGTCACTGCAGCTGCCTTTAGAAGCTCCGGTTCCTAAAGAAACATTCAGACATTTCATAGATGGCCGCCGAGTGAAATTACTTGTCTTAACCCAGGGTTAAGTGCAGTGTGAAAAGCCCTTTTGTCTCTTGTTCTTCCGTGTCCGTGCCTAATGAATGTGCGCTGTGTTGCAGATGCGTCAGGCCAGACGGCTCTCAAACCCTTGTATACAGAGGTATACATCCTGCAATGGTGAATGCAGCACGTATGTGTTGAGATCAAACCCCACGCGCTTTGTCCCTGTTTGTTTGCACTCAGCCCCCTGCTTAGAGTTTAGAGGCTTGTAGACTTTGAACAAGATCTGAGCAGGGTAGAGCTGCCTCACCTAAACAATCCAACCTCGCAGTCCAACCCCGCACTCATGCTAGAGTGACCTTTGACACCCATCATCCCCATTCACTCTTTTAATATACTTTCGGTACATCCATACTAAACATCTCATCCACTCATCTGATTACCCACACTTCTCTCTAGGGCTCAGTAATGCAACTATTTGATAATGGTGATTTACAGAGAGACATTTGAATGTTTTACTAGAGTAAAAAAACGAAATAAAAAATTGATTCTTTTTTTTAATATGTAAGTTAATTTCTTAATATTTTAGTAAACAGATGAAAGACAATTCTGTATGCAAATAGAATGCCAGAGACATTTAAGCCGCTTTTCCACCGAAAACACCATTCGCATTGCTTAACAGTTCCATTCCGTGCCGATCCGGCCCAGCCGGTACGGATATGGTCTCATTTTCCACTGTGGGACTGATTACAGAGCTCTTTGGAATGTAATACAAATGCGTCAGTCGTTGCCTTGTTAACACAAGAGTTTACAGATGGTATGAGATGTAAAATAGCGACAGCATTATGGAGGATCATCAGATATTTCTTTTAATTTGAACTCGTGTTAACTTCGTTCAAATAACGCGCTTGGCCAGCTATTGAGAAACTGGCAGCCAGGCAACAGACAAGTGACCAATCCTGAGTGGCGATGTCACTTCACACATTCTGCCGTGCCGAACCAAGCTCAAGTGGAATTGAAAGGACATTCGTTCTAAAGGTTCTGAATTGTAAAATGCTGTTTGTAATTTTAGGTCTTTTATTATTTGGCTGGAATGGCCAAATTTTCATAATCATTAGCAACATTTCTTCCTCAAATACTGTACAGTATATATTATCAAATCTATATCGAATTGTATTCATTATATTGAACCCTAACTCACATTTATCTTTACTTCTATTTACTTACATTTTACAATCCATTTCATAACCTCACCTGCTTTTACTTTAAAACTGTCTTTGATGTTTGATGTTACAGGGATCTATTCTAGTTTTGGAATGTCAAAATCTTAATACTAGTGAAAAGAGATACAAGTTTGTTTAATTAAATTGTAATGCATGGTGGGAATGGTGAATTCCACATAGGTGATATGAGAGAATGAATCTAGCACATTTTATTGGACACAAAGGTTTTTACTATTGTGTGTCAGTCAGTTTTTACTAGTGTGTCAGTCAGACTGACATCTAAAACAGGAAATAGCATAATCGCAGCATAGATTTTTTTTCTTTTAAACTGAATAGGCTCGGCATATATTGAATGGATTTTGATAACAAAAAACAGCAACATGCACAAAAAAAATCAGAAGTGTAATTTTTTTAAAAATCAGATATGTTGTAAAAATATCTGGACTCTATTCTCATCAGTGGTCTAGAAAAAGCTCTTTTATTCTACATAGTGGCAACCATGTTGAGGTCACTAACCAGCCTTGAACCAAGTTTATAAACACACATTTTAGATGAACGCACCCAATGAAGATGAAACAGCCAGCAAAAATAAAAATGACTTGAGTGCACCTTTTTAAGGATAATTCAGTAAAACATGTCATAATTTACTCACACTCATTTTGTTGATTTGAATATGTGTGAACTTCCACATAAGACAGCAAGTCATACAGGTTTGGAGTGACAAATTTCATTTCTGGCTAAGCTATCCATTTGTGAAAAAGAAGTGCACTTAAAGGGTTAGTTCACCCAAAAATGAAAATTCTGTCAGTATTTACTCACCCTCATGTTGTTCCAACACTGTAAGACCTTCGTTCATCTTCGGAACACGAATTAAGATATTTTTTATGAAATCTGAGAGCTGGATCACTCCTCCATAGGCTTCTTAAGGGATCGAAACTGGCCGGCCCAAAAGTTATTAAAGACATCGTTAAAATAGTCCAAGTGACTACAGTGGCTCAATCTTAAGTTTATCAAGCGACGAGAATACTTTTTGTGCGCAAAACAAAACAAAAATAACGACTTTATTTCAACTATTCATTTCCTTCTCTTTGGGCCTCTAGTCAGTTAACGTAGTGTGATTCCGTAGAGCTACGTCACACGTAGGCTCACTATTGGCCGACGCTGGTCATGTGCGTGATGCGTGTGACGTACAACAACAGAAGCTTACGCTATTACACTAGTGAACTGACTCGAGGCCCACAGAGAAGGAAATGAATAGTTGAAATAAAGTCGTTATTTTTGTTTTTTTGCGCACAAAAAGTATTCTCGTCGCTTGATAAACTTAAAATTGAGCCACTGTAGTCACTTGGACTATTTTAACGATGTCTTTCATAACTTTTGGGCCGGCCAGTTCCAATCCCTTAAGAAGCCTTTGGAGGAGTGATCCAGCTCTCAGATTTCATCAAAAATATCTTAATTCGTGTTCCGAAGATGAACGAAGGTCTTACGGGGTTGGAACAACATGAGGGTGAGTAATTACTGACAGAATTTTCATTTTGGGGTGAACTAACCCTTTAATTGTATTGAATGTGCACTTGTAGTGTACTTAAAAATTTTAAGTAGATTAAAAAAACTCTACTGCTAATATAATATTAATTAAATGAAGTGTATTAAAGAGAGTACTGTACTTTTTCTTAACACACTTTTAAGTACACCTTTCAAAGGTGAACTTTGCAATATTGTAAAATTATGCAAATAATGTCGCGTACATTTTAAATCATAATGTAATAATCTTTTTGTCATGCTTTAAAGAAATACACTTAATGTGATGTGTTATACTAAAGCACATGTAAAGTAATTGGTTATAATTTTAACTGCAGTGTGTTATTTGATGTTTCATAGTTTTAAAATATATTTTAAATGTACCAAATCGCAACTTCAGCACTGCAAATGTGTAGCTACAAATATATGTAAAAACATGACACACATTTTAATATAAATTACAATAAAGTATATTTTAGTTTACCATAAATACCTGTACACTGAAATCATATTTCAAAGTAGAAGTACTGTAGAAGTAATTATAAAATGACTACATACAAATATGTAAGTCCTACTTAAGTTATATAAGACTATAACTATAATACGTTTTTATTTAATTCCAAATAACATTTAAGCAGTTAAGTGCCTTAAAACATTACATTCAGTTTGCACTTATTATTCATAATAAGTACTCTTTTTAAAAGTATACCAAAGTGTACTTCTTCTTTTAATCTTAAGGCCTGTTCACACCAACACAAATGTGCGCCAGGAAAATTCAGACCTATTTTTGCATACTATTTGTCTGTTCATATCAATGTGGGGGGAAAAACAACAGATGGGCTGAATGAATACGCAAATTCACTCTAAGACAGTATGCATGTAAATGTTCGTGTCAATCTGAACAGACGCATTAACAACTGTTCGTTCAAATAAAAATGCGAACATTCGACTTGGTCTGAACAGACTATTAGTTTTGAACTTTTTATGTTGAATCCTTGTCCTGTCTGTGACTTCCTCTAATGCCGTTTTAGCTGATGTCCACCTCTCATTCTTTCCTTTCAGAGATTAAATGTGACACTGAGACACTAACAATGCAAAAACGAGCCCTTCTTCTGCACTACCAGCTGCCCTGTTCCTGCTATATCCCAGAATGATCTACAGCTTGCCACTTGCTGTAACTTTCACTACCACTGTTTGCTGTCGTGACCCATGTCCTAAACTGCACTAAACTTCCTGCTGTACCTTTCTTCACCTACTCCTTGTTCTTGAGTTTTTGCTCCGTCTTCCCTCTCTCCCAAAGCCGTTTTCTCTGACCCGACTATTGCTGCAATCTATAACCGTTACTCAATCTCTGCAGGAGCACGCTGAACCCACCTCCACGTTCTACTACAGCGAACCGTGTCTCCCAACTCCTCGCTCACCCCTCCCCACCGAACTCCATTACCCAGAATGCCGTTCCCCCTCGGGCTCTCAGCATGGCGTGGGAGGGGCCAGACCTGAACAGCTTGCCGCCTGGGGCCCGAGCGCGCCTGTCGCTCCAGGAGACGCCCCAAATCTTCAAGTAAATGTTGATGACTCGTCGCCATGGCAACGGAGAAGCAAAGTAATCCAGCCTCCGGTTTGCCCTAAAGATAAAGAGCGGCAAGTTACCGAGGTGTAACAATGTACTTGGTATATTACACACACATCACAACAAACTATTGACGTCAAAATCAGAACAGGGACTCGAGCCCAGTGCATCATGGGATATGGAGGACTATGGAATTTGGAGTTTTCCGTGGTCATTCTCAAGCCTTTCAGAAGACGTGTGCACTATAACACAGATTTATAAACCAGACAATTTGTTAAAGAGGCTATATGGATGAATTTACATGTATTAATCACTTTTTTTATTGCCAATGTTTGAACAGCTTGTAACGAAACTTAAAAAATGAGACCTTCCCTAATTTCCTAGGTTGTCTATGAGAGCCTGTAAACGTTTTTTTATGCGAAGGACTGGGAACGTGTTTGCTGGGAAAATCAAAAGGATGTGACGTTTAAGCCCAAAGTATACTTAGGCCGCCCCCCATTCTGCAATGGTCCGCACACTGTCCATGTGATGTCTTTTTCGTCATCAGGCCAATTCTTGTGTCCGCACGGACGGTACTACAGCGCATGTGCGAGTGACTTGAGTGCTTGAAAGTACATCTAGTCCACTAGAAAATGTGCACATGGCAAACACGTCTTTCCACACTCATGACTAAAGGAGGATACTTTCAAAGCGCACTATCTAGTGGACTGCTGTTTTTAAGTGCTCAAGTCACTCCCACATGCTCTGTTGTGCGCGCACCGTCCGTCCGCGGACCCTCCTGATGGACAGTGCGTGGACTGTCGCGGTAGGTGGACGGCCAAAGTATACTTTGGGCTTTACGCTCACTCTCTTGAGCCTCTCTTCTGTTCTATGACGCATGAAATAAATGCTTATACAATGTTCAGGATAATGCTGAAAGAGCTATTCTGTACTGTTATATCAATGTGTCATGCAAAGAAAAGGGATTAATTCAAACTATAGTCTCACATAGTCAGATCTATATAGTCCATAGTCTCAAATATAGGCCTACTTTATAATCAAACTACATCATAACAGTGTAATTATTAGGGTGTGATGAGACGCTTATCTCACGAGACGAGACAAGACGAGATTTTTGCACAATATTTTATAGAAATCCTCAATGACAAAATTCATGACTGGAAAAATAGTCTGCAGGTGCATTTTGAAATGTTTTAACTATTTAATTGATTGATTTGTTTATTTAAGTGTCAAACACCCTGGTGCCCAGCCCTCATGGGCTTATTAGACTCTACAGTAATAATTTCACAAATATCTCCAAGTAGCCACGTGACATGATAACACAGAACCCAACATAGCATAACTAAACCACTAAAAATAAGTACACACACAAATAAAGATGGCTTTTCATATGGGATAAAAAATACTTTTCCTAATACCTAATAAACTTAATCTTGTAATGAATGTCATTTCAGTTCTACTTTGAGTATGAATTATCAAATGCATTGAAAGACAACAATATACAAGCACTGTAAAAGGTTTTGCCACAAACTCAACTGACTGGCTTTTCTCCTGTATGATTTCACATGAGTCTCTTCAGATTCCCCCTTCCATATGTAAAGCGCTTTGAGTACCCAGAAAAGCGCTAGACAAATGTAACGAATTATTATTATTATGAATTATGAGCTTCCAGAACTTCTGATTGAGGCTGTGTGTGTGACCTCCTAATTGAACTCTTCCACAAATTGAACATAGAAATAAAAACAGTATAAATAGTGCAAGTGCAACCATAATCAAAGTACTCTCCCAGTATTCAAAGTGCAAACAGAGACCAGAGCCACAACTACACAGCCCAGAGATGGGTCTGATATTGGGAGACAGGCTTGCATGCAGCCTAATTTGCGCGCATCAGGGAGCTTGCGTTTTACTTTCACTTTTAAATTCGTCATCGTGAAAAATCGTGTTTGTCGTATTTGTCGTGTATTTGTCGCGTACTCCGTAGGGGCAGTGCTGAGGGCGCATTCTACAAGATATGGGGACGTTCACACAGAACGCGTTTTTACGTTGTAAAACGCGAGATGCTGGCAGTGGATTGGGGGGGAAAACGCAAGGTCTCGAGACGCTTTTTTAAAAAGTTGATAGAACTGAAATTAAAAGAACTGATTTTAACTTCCGCGTTTTTAGAATCTTGGCACGATATCTCGTCACACCCCTAGTAATTATTAATTACCTCAACTGTCCACATGATGCCGGTGAATTGTAGTGCTTGTGCAAACATATTTACATCGCTAGGACGAAAAAGACCTTCGCCGTGAGTATATCAGGGCGTTGAATCACATTCAGTCTCTTGTACGTCACATGCGCACGAGTGCGAGCATGAGCAATAAGTTGCTGGCTGCAGTTCACGCAACGGCCACCGGTGTCGCTAATAACAAAGGTTTCTGAATTCTACATATAGCCCCTTTAAAACAAAACGTTCATACCAATAGCCGGTAATTATTTTCCCGTTATGGCCAATAAGCGATATTATGGCTAATATTATAAATCTATTGTGTTTTCCCCCTTTTTTTTCCCTAAAATACTATGTACACAAAGTGAATTCACTTGTTTCAAGTGAAATCAGGCATCAAAACACTTAACGTATGATCGAAAAAATGGATGTTTAATACTTTTGCAAGGCTATATGGTTTAAACTGGGAAATATATTGTTTGAATAAAATAAGGTATTTATTTAAAAAAAATCTACATATAAGTTCTGATTGATTTCATTTGAATTATTCTGGTGCTTTTACATCCTTTTTGTTGGGGTACAAGTTTAGTCTTTTCCCTACAGCAACATATTCCTCCTTTAGAGGCCATTGATCCTTGGTGGTCTTGTTTATTGTCAATTGAATTTTCTTTTCTTTTTTGAATGCTTTATGTATAAATTGAATTGGACTTTGTGATAGTGTTTGACCACAACGACATAGAAATAGCTTTTACTGATATGTTTCATAATGCTGTAGAGAATGTTTGTGTTGTTATTATATTTCAGTGTAACATACTGCCACTCTTATGGCAAGGTAAAGCTCTCTTTTTAGTGGCACTTATGTTTATCAGATGCATGTGAACGCATGACTCTATATTTCTACACAGAGAAACACTCGAGTGATGTTTGATAAACCGGTTAGGCAAAACGGTTTAATTTGTTAACAATGGTCAATGCATTACACAGGCTATCACAAACTAATGATGAACGGTAATTTTTCACAATCGAGATAAATATTAATTATAACCTTTCAATAAATGTTTGTACTTGAAATGTTTTTTGAGTTTTCAACTTGAAATGTATTTATGCAGAATTAGCAGAACATTAATAAATGCTGTGAGTATTTTTTTTGTTGTTAGTTCCTGATACCTAATGCATTAAATATTGTTAACGAATTGAACCTAAAGTATTACCAACAACGCACAGGCATCCGCAAAATGCAGCTGTATGGACCCTTTTCACAGACTGGTCATGCATTTCCACAATTATTAACATTGTAATTCTAATTAATTATAAGTTTTTAATATATATAAATCATGTACACTGTGTTGCCTTGGCAATAAATAACAAAAGTTGCTGATGCGTGAATGTTTCTACAATGGCTGAGGAGTGACGGCAAATTGTATTTCTCTCTTCTGATCATTGTAATCAATCTCGTGTTTTTTTCTTCTTCTTCTTTTATTGATTTTTTTTTATGTTTGCTATTGGAGCAAATGGGAATACAAAAATGATATTTGTTTTAGTTTATATTCACCACTATAGAAGTTTACCCAACTATTACGACTTCCCTGGATATGTGAAAAGGGTCCATATGTTAGTATTAGTGTGAATGAAAACAGATTCAGTGACTCCAATTATATATAATGTATGTTGTTTGATTGTGGGTTCATATACTGCACCCTATTGTATGTATTTGTCTTGTATTTGGCTGGAAAAATTATTAACTTTTTTAAACAAGTCTAAATAATGTCTTTGCTTGTCTTTTAAGGTTAGGATTTGAGTCATGGTTAGTCTATAATAATTAGAATCAAACGTATTGAGATTAGTGTGTGCGTGCGTGTGTGTGTGTGTGTGTGTGTGTGTGTGTGTGTGTCCAAGAATAGCTACCCTACATTATGAGGACATGAGAAATGTTTGGTCCCCATAAGGAAACCAGCTTATAAATCATACTAAGTAATGTTTTTTTTTTTTATACTGAAAGTTTTCTGTGATGGTATAGGTTTATGGTTAGGGGATAGCATATACAGTTTGTACAGTATAAAAATCATTATGTCTATGGAAAGTCCCATCAAATATGAAAACAACGTGTGTGTGTGTGTGTGTTTGGCTATACGTGTTAGGGCCAAATGTCCTCACTTTATAGGGAAATATTTTGATGACTGCCTAGTGAGGACATTTTACTGGTCCGCACTAGTTAAAAAAGCGATATAAATCGACCAAAACAACTTTTTATTTAAATCTAGTGTTTTGCACATGTGTCTGTGATGGGTAGGTTTAAGGGTTTTGTTAGGCCATAGATTAACCTCATTTAAAATCAATGTTAAATAATATAAATGTTTTCTGAGCACCAAATTAGCATTAGAATGATTTCTGAAGGTTCATGTGACACTGAAGACTGAAGAATTGGCTGTTGATAAATTACAGAAATAAATGACATTTGAAAATATATTAAAATTGAAAACCGTTCTTTTAAGATTTAATATTTTCTGCAATTATTATAGTATTTTTTTAATATATTAGGAAAGTATGCAGAAAATATTAAACAATATACAATATGGCATTATTAGCAGATATTTATTTGAATACAATATAGGCTACGCTACAACAAATGATATACTGTGAGCCTCATTCATGCATGAATCTGTTTTCTGATAGAACACTTTGACTTTTGCAAGGCGCCTTGTCTAGCAGCTGTTTGCTACTGTAGTTACCTTTTCAATAAGCAGGTAAAATTCATGACACTAAAATATTCAAGTAGGCCTGTGTAGGAAGTTTACGTTATACATTTGTATAGGCAGACTTCCGACATAAAACTGATTATAGCTTGGTAATATTTCCAAGATGGCTGCACGGTGACTCAAATGTTAAGATGTCATCAGCAATCCAGTTCTTGTAGATCAGTGCTTGAGCCCAGGCTATATGTATTACAGAAACATCCTACCTCAGAATCATATCCTAACCAAATTTCACGCTCTGTTCCAGACTGTTCATTAAAGTAGAGCTTTGTGAAGCAGCTGATCATGACACGGTCATTACTAAAAAATCCAGTGTTGTATAAGATCAGCTCATTCGGATTCAAGTCCAGGCTGAGAAGATTTAAATAATTTACACCACATTTACATTACATGGTTCAAGTGACCCAATTCCATTTTTTTTCTCCCATGTGGCACAGATAGCATATGACCCGCGAACGTGTAAGCAAGAAAAACCTTGAGACACCAATGTTTTACTTGACCTTTAAAGATGGTGCGGA